GTTAAGACACTTAGCACAATGTTCAGCTTATTGTAATCACTCAATGAAAGTTGGCTGCTGCTATTATTATTGGCTGCCAAGTAATTGGATGATAGTGCCATATAAGCAGAGGGATGAGAAAGAAACAACATATAAAATCACAGTTTCACCAATGATGGTTTAGTACTGAATCCAAACAGTATTTAACCATGTTTTAAAGCACACAATTTGGGGTAAATGTTGATTCTTTAAAAAGTCAATCTCCAGAGGGCCATAAAAGCTATTTTAATCACTACAACTAATTACAAGGAAGTATAAATCAATAAACTTTGCTAAATGGTCTAAAATATAATAAAGAAAACCATCATTAACAATCATCCAGGAAGCCACTGTCCTTAATAGTGAGATGATGTAAAAGTTGGATGAGAAGAACGAATTTTTTTATTTGAAAACTCCAGACGTTAACAATGCTCTCAGGGAAGTTCTTAATTTGCTACAGAGTCGTGGCGTTTCAGCATGATTATTTACTTTGGGTAACTTGAGTTCATTGCTTCTAAACTATATGTATAGGAGGCCTGGTTTGGAAATAAGGGGCCATTTGCAGCAAGGTATTTTCAGCTCTTAGCATTTTTTTGGATCCTTTCTCAGCTCAAAGCCGGCTATCTTTCCATTCTTCCTCCTGAAGCTACAACACTGTTTCAGAGCCCACATCGAGATTGGAGTCCAGAGGCCTTTAGAAAGCCTTAGCTCTCTTTTAGTCTTGTGTGGTGGTTACTGGCCCAAGTCTAGGGGGTCCCAGGGTTATCACCCGATTCCCACGTGTACCCTGCTGCCCTCCAGCTAGGAGAGACAATGCCCACATGGGTTCCTGAGTCAAATTGCTCTCCACCCATCATATCCTTAAGTCAAGCACTGGGTGTGCTTCTTGCCAGCCTATTTATTCTCAGTGGTGTGTTTTCCCAAGGCTGGAATGTGCCCACGAATGCCAAGTGAACAGCAGGCACTCCTTATCAAGGATGATGATGATTGACAACCTCCTGTTCCTGAGATGTCTGTGCTGCTGGGCTCTGTTCCCTTCGTGGTCCCGGCTAGGCACCTGGTCACAGCTTTGCTTGCGTCACACAAGAACCCGTGAGGCTTTTTGGACAGTGTCCCTTTCCAGCCTAGTTCCTGACCTACCCTGGGGAGCAGATCAAGTCCACATCTAGCCCCTTTTGCCATCTTCACCTATCTATATTGCAATGGGGGATATCAGAGATAGGGACTTGTTCAGCTCTGATGATGAGGCCAAGGGATTGAGCAGAAAAAGCTTGTCATGGCAGTAGAAGAACTAGATTTGAGGCTTGACTCTGCAACTAACTAGCCTTCATATCCACTGACCTCCCTTAGCTAAATCAAAGGGCTAATGACAACGGAAGAATATGCATTGGAACGTAAGTATGCAATGCAACGTAGGTATGCATTGGAAAATTGTTACACTAATAAGAGGGGTGTTACCGTCGGCTGATCACTGAGCCCCAAACGGAGAGAAGGGTTTTGCAATCAGAAATTTTGTTAACAGAAAATCTAAAATAATAGTGATTTAGGCAAGACAGAATTTCATTTCTCTCCAGTACAAAAAACAAACTTGCAAGTGGGAAGTCCAGAGTTAGAATGTTGGTTCAGTAGTTGTTGGGGACCCAGGCTTCTACTTATTATCTTTCTGTGCCCATACTAGCATATGGCTTTTATCTTCAAAGTCACCTCATGGCCCAAGATGGCTTCTGGGGCTCCATCCATATCACAGACATCAGAAAAGAAGGAAAGGGAAGGGAAAAGGGAAACATGGCCTAAGTCAAACTCTTTTGAAGTGACCTTCCTGAAAAGTCCACATATTTCTACCTACATCTTATTCACCAGAACATAGTCACATGGCCGCATCTAACTGTGAGTAAGCCTGGGAAACGTGGCCTTTTTTTTAGGTGTGTTGCCACCAAGAATGGATACTGTTGGATGGTAACTAACATTTGCCACATACGGTCATTTGAAACCAAATGACATGTCAACATTCTACGAGAGAGAGTTTCAAGTGATAACCATGTAGCAATCTGCTTTTGTGACTGGCTTAAATAAACAAGATCCACTTAATCAACAAACATATTTTGGGTAGCGACTACATGTGCTCAGCAGTAGAGGGACGGTAGTGAGCTGAAATGGACGTCTCCTGCCTCCGGCAAGTTTATGGTGCACATCTTCTTACAAAAGGAAGAGAGTGTAATTGTAAACTGGGGTGTGGGTTGTGTATGGTGGATCGTGGCAGGTGGTCAGACTTGAACTTTGTGCCCTCAACTGTATAGAGAGACAAAGGACCTCTGTCACTGGGCCCGGGGTCACCTGGAAGCACCCCATTGAATGATGTGGTTACACATTCTTAGCATGCTGATGATACTCCTCTTCTCTGACCTTCCTCACTGCTGACCAAGGCTGTTTTAACTCTTACCCTTAAGTGAAAGGGACCCTATCTGCTTAGAGATAGGAGAGAATTCTCCTCTATTTTCCACAGAGCTGACGCTACATTCATTGCTTAATCTAAGGAAATTGGGGTGTGATGTCCCACTCTCCTTGCCTGTGGCAAATAGATGAGCAATTACTCAGGCGTCCTGAGTATCAAAAGCATCGGTCTGAAATGCCTGTCCCAACAGGAAAGGCTTTATTGTGTGGGTCCGGCTTTCTGCTTTGACTTGCTATGGCCATTTCTGATCTTATTATTTCATTTGGGATAAAAACAGAGAATTTTATTTGTATTGCCCTTACTCTTCATTAGCTAATAGTTGGCTTCACCTTGGAATTTTAACATGACAAAACACTCAAAGAAAAGAGCACATCATTTTCCTGCTGTCATTTTGTGGGGCCAAGAATTTTTATTTGTCCTTCTGAAGAGTGGCTTTATTTTTAGCCCCATGCAGAGCTTTAGATGGATGTCCTGTCTGTTTCCACAAGGCAGCTCAGATAACCCAATCACATCCAGTTTTAGGGACAACTTCTTTTTGTTCCAACTTAGAACCATCAAGCATTGCTAGAAGAAAGAAGAGGTATTCACTCTCCTTAATGAGAAAATATGTGGATTAGTGACATTTCCATATCATATGCTGGATCATGACTCTTGTGCTCTGAAGGTTTTGGGCTTGGGTGTATAACTTCATGGTTGGCACGGAGGACTGTTAGGCTCTACTGCTTGTAAGAAATAGAGTCTGATAAAATACCTAACAAGCGGGAGACTCTGAGGTCATGAGTATAAAGACAGCTGCAGTTTCCAAGTGCTTGGGGAAAGACGCACAGCCGGGCTTCGACAGAGCCTGGAGTTTAGGAGGAGAACGGAAAGGCACAACGTATTTCCAGCATCCTCAGCAGGAGAGGCCAATGGTCTTCCACAAGAGCTTGGCCATTAATTCAGTTCAGAGCTATGCCACAGTTACGAACTCCAGCCTCTCAGACATACTGGTGAAATCCTCTGGCTCTAATTTCCTCTTTGCTTCAAAATTATTTGCTGATATTTTAGCACTAGTAACTCTGAGATGCTTCAAGCTGCAGTTAGAAAGGAAAAGAATGACATTTCAGGCTCGTTTATACAGCCAGGTGACGCAGCTGTAGGACAAAGGCCTTGAGTTCATCTGCAAGTCTGCTAGTTGACTCCAGCCTGCCCAGTCACTGCTCTTGCTATCTGGTCCTGGAGTTTACACTGGGCTTGGCAGAAAACGACCACTGCTGTCCCCTGGTGGCTGGTCATAAAGCCAGGTCTGCGTTCTCCCAGAGAATTTTCTTGTATTGGCTTAAAGTACAAAGCTAAGGGTGCTGGGCTTCCATCCCCACATATAATATAAAGCCTGTATGGAGAAAAAGGTCCACCGACTTGACTGTCCAGCTACCCCCCTGAGCACAGCCACCGGTTTCAGAAACGTGTGCCACGTCTGAAAGGCCGTGTGAGCCCTATGCTCAGACCCAGGCCAGAACACCTCAGAGAGGGCAGAATGCCTCTCTGGTCAGTCCCAGCATCCTCATATTATCTTCCAGTAGTCGTCACTGGGAACCTGTCCTCGGAGTCCAGAACCCGGTTAGATCCTTCTCTGACTGGCTTCCTATCCTTCATGGGCTAGGAACAAAATCACTAATGAGTGAGCCCTCCTTTGGTTTCTCTCTCTGTTTTTTAAAGTTTATTTATTTATTTATTTGGGAGGGGGGAGGGGCAGAGAGAGGGAGAGAGAGAACCCTACGCAGGCTCCACACTGTCAGCGCAGAGCCTGATGAGGGGCTTGAACTTACGAACTGTGAGATCACAATCGGAGCTGAAATCAAGAGTTGAATGCTTAACCGACTGAGCCACCCGGAGCAACCCCCTTTTGGTTTCCTAATGTGGCAGCAGAAGGTAAGAACATCTATCTCAAGGGTAAATTGTGAATTTTTTCTGATAGTTCGTGATAACGAAGATGGTGGGGGGAAAGTGTCAAATATCATGGTAATACATTCGAAACCTCTTTTGAAATCTGTCAAGGGATGTCACTGGTGTGGAACCTCTTCAGTTAGGATGGTCTTTGGCAACTTCACGGTAAGAGGTCTTCCACGGTAGATTTCTGTGCAACCCAGCAAGACATTAGAAATCCTGGCCCCAAAGGAGTTATGATTTTTGGCCCTTCTACCTCATCTGAGAGGCAGAATTTTTGGCATAAAAGGACCTCAGACTTTGATTCAACATCACAGTAAGGAGGAAGGTACAATATCAACTCCATCACCAACACTGTCAAAAGAACTAGCGGGAATACAGAGGCTTCCTTTACCCATACAAAGATCCTAACATGATGGGAAGGACTCCAGTCACTAACAATGGCCAAAGGAGGCTCACCTAGACTTTAATAATCATTTTTGAAGGAATTCCATTTTCAAAAATAAATTTATTCAAATATTTTATGTCAAAATAATACTAAAAAGTATTCATTGCTATTAGTTGCCGCCAATCAAATGTGCACTTAACTACATGAACACAACTATTACTTCATAGTCTTTTTATTATAGACTTTTTTTTTATCCACATGAATGTTAAAGAAACTACAACAGAGTTAAATACCATTTTTGATAACATGATTATATTCTTAATTACACTCAATATTAAACTGTAAAATATTTCCAGAGGAATACAATCTTCATTCATACAGCAGGCAAAGTACCAGAGAGGAAGGGGCCACGTCTAAGTCTGTCCAGTTTGTTGTGAAAAGCAGGTTTGTGCGGCTGATGCCGTCCCAGCTGTCGAAATGTGATCCCCACTCCTAGGACAGGTCTTGTGTTTCCACCAAGAATCACGTCTTCCAGTGTAAAAGACAGTCTTGCAGAGCCACCCTCTCCGAGTGTGCAGCACTGAGTTCACTTGGGACCGTCCACGGATTTCCCACCCCGGTTGGCTAACAGCACTCCCACGCTCTGGGTTCAGTTGGCCTTGAAAAACACAAAGACTCAAACTTTGGTTCCACCAAAAGATGCGACAAGCATTGACTGCTCTGGTTGGCTCCCCCCTCCCCCCCACTAATGAATGGCCGCTACAGTCTATTTTACATGGTTGTCCATGCTGCTTTGAGGTCACTTGTCCTTGGGTTCTCCCGAACCTGATTTTGTATTTGATTCCCAAGCCCTTTCAATTCGCAGTCTTTATGTGGGTCAGAAGTGCTCAGTGACAGGCTGTATCTTACAAGAGAACAAGAGTAAGTGATTCTGTGCACCTGGGATAGAACAAGAAATGCAGAATGACAACTTCAGCCCCATATAGTCAGATAGTTTAAAAACACATCAAGTAACATTTAGTGTATCCTGAAAGAAGACATTTTGGGTACAGTTTGGATGAAATATTGAAATGGTGACTTGAAAGCACCTTCCTGTGTACATATATTTGCCTGCTCTCTTAGTTTATGCATCTCTGCTGACACTGAGCCAAAGTAGAGCTATCAGATCAGAGTATGCTGGCTTGCGATGCCTCCTTTACAGGAAAGTCATGTTTGCTAGGTTCTAGAAGCTCCAGTTTGCTTAAGACAGCCTGTGGTGAAAGGGGCAGACAGAATTTCATGTGCCAGTGCCCTGCTTTGGCTTTGGCTGGACTGCCCAAGTTAACTTCTATATTTCTTGTCCTGGGGGGTCAGGGCAACCGTAGAAGCATGGCTGGAGTTTTTGTGACTCAAGCAACAAAACCATCGGATTGGCTATTAACTGCATGTTTACAACTGATGATAGAGGATGCGGGTCAGGCCACAGTCTCCTGGTATGAATCACAGGAGAGCAGATGAGTGTGGGGTGTCAGAGCCAGGCAGCCTGGCCCAAATCCTGCCACTTGCTCAGAGCAAGACCACAGACAACATACTCAGCTCTCTGCATGTCAGTTTTCTCAGCTGTAGCATATGGTGAGAGCAGTGGACCTTCTCTCAATGGGTTGTTTTGGAGATTAAATAAAAGAATTGACACAAAGCCTTGAGCAGACTAGGAGCACATTGTCAATCTCGATGGAGACTCTTGAAAGAACCTGGTCCTATAGGTCTGACTACAGAGGAGAGAAATGGATATGCTATTCCCTCCCTTTGCCTTTGATCTATATAAAAGGAAGACACAGAGTGTTCCGTTACAATCCCTCTACATCATTTTAAGACCTTTTTCTTGTAGTGATTTTTGTAGCAATTATTCCAGAAATGAAGAAAACTAACAATTAGTTACGAGACACATATCAAAGAGGTAGATGTTGTCAGTATAGGAAAAAAAAAATCCTCAAACTCTCCAGAAGGTGGAAGGAAGGATTAATCTGTGATGAAGAAAACGCAGACATAAGGCAAAAGTAGGTTGGTCATGCCCTTGGATGTGATATACGGTCTTGAGCATACTTTAATAAAAGCAGCCCCTTTGCGGGAAAGGAGAGAGAGTATGGCAGATGTCTGGTATGCAAGAGTGGTGGTCAACATTTTAGAACTGGCAGAGACTTTGATCAGGTTTGGCCACCTACATTTTATTGACGAGAGTGAGCCTCAAAGAGATTGTATGATAGTATCCAAGATAATATGGGGCAGCAGTGTCAGATTTAGAAGCCAGACTCCCTCCAAACAAACCCAATGATCCTTGGGAGACAGAGAAGTAGAATAGAGTCACATGGACCTGAATTGAGTCCTGGTTCTGCCACGTGCTAGCTGAGTGGTCCCACTGAACCTCGGGGTTCCCATGTATGAATGGGGATGACAATAGGATCTACCTTCTAGAGTTGGAATGCTCAAAAGAGATAGATAATGTGGCAAAGAATTTAGCCCAATGTCTGGCATAATCAGTGCTCAACAGATGATAGTTACTATTATTTCTGGCTTGGTCACGAGTTTCTGTATGACTACGAACAAGCCATTTCCCAGGATCCACTTTCCACCTCTGTAGAATGACTGAAAGACCTGGGTGCTTCATCTAGCTACACGGATGACATCTGTATAATGTCAAAAGATGCTCAGAAGAAAAAGAACGTAATGATTAAATTGCTGCTGACATCATGGCACTTTTTTGGTGGTGCAGATTTCACAAAGATCACACTGGGTGTCTGGGCAGGACATGGGCATGGAAACAACCACAGGTAAGAGAGATAAGAGAGACTATCAGGAATAATTCTGGTGTGAAAAACAGTCCTTGATGCAAGGACAAATGCACATAACATTTTGAAAATTTTTTTCAAATCATTTTCGTTGTACTGTGAGCTTACAGTGAAACAAATACGCAAAGCAGCCCAATGGCTAGTCTACTAGGGCTTGTTTTAGGAGGTGGTTTGAAGATAAAGAAAGAAAGCAAACTACACTTAACACAGCTGGTAGCTAAACAAATAGAATTCATTGCCCCAAAGGGGACTATGCCTAGGTTGAAGAAAGGTTTAGAGAAATCCATGGGTAATGGGTCTTTAAGGAGTTATCAAGGGAAAGCTAAGAGTATTCAGTGCATGTGCTTAAATTTTAGGGTTGGTGTTGTTAAGAGCAACAATTTGGCTCTTCTAATGGAATTATGCAGTTAGTAACCTGGTCTGGGTGGAACCTTATTTTGACTCAACATGGAATTTCTTACATCCTAAGGTAGGGCAAAAAAGATTTGTAGAGCAGTGATATGTGGCGATACTTGCTCAGCTTATTAAGTGGATTGCCTGTGGTTTTGAAAAGCTTCCTCCTCTTAATAGTCATATTGGAATCCACTGGGTGGCAAGAACACAGCACACTACCTTAAGGGTCACTCTTGCATAAGACATTAATGTATCAGTCCCTAATTTGGAAACCTGTGGTCACTCCGCAAGGCAGAATTTGTCTCTCTCCCTTGGTGTAATGATTTTTATTTTGTAATCTCTCTTGGGGTAATTCCTTGCAGGCTTGGCATGTTGAGAATCAAATACTGCCTCTAACAATACGGTCGTGATTCTCTGCTTGGCTGATTTAGCTCAGCATTTAAGTAACCACTAATCTTCTGAAAGCACCAGGGTCTACTTAGAGAAATCCCTGTTGTCTGCAAGGATGGAAACAAAATCAGCATGAAGGAAGCATTAGTTACTAAACACAAATCAATCTTTTTTTTTTTTTTTTTTCCACCTAGCTGTATGCGATGTCACCATCAGAGGCATGGTTTCTGGGCAGTCTTCATTTGGTAGGTACAAGAGCAGTCGTCATAAGCAAAGGAGATGAGTTGGGGAATAAGAAGGAGTAAAAAGAGTTTATTGAAGTTCCTGAGTGGAGATCAAACTACATTATAATGGATGAATATCATAAATGAGGAGTAAAAGAAGCCAGATACAAAACAATGTTCTGTACAAGGTCCTTTGCTAAAGTTCAAAACCAGGCAAAGCTGATCTTTGTTGAGTGGAGGAATGACTGGACAGGGGTGCAAGGTGGCTCTCTGGGTGCTGGAAGCCTAAGTAGGTTCATCTTGTGAAAATCCATTGAGTTTTGATTTGTTGACTTCATGACTTGATTTTTGAACTTTGATGAATATGTATCATACTTCAATAAAAATGTTATTTAAAAACACATCCTGATATATTCTCTTTGACTTGAAAGAGAATTTGACATTTTCAAATTATTATACCTATGAGTTTATCAGCATTAATTTGGGTGATTCTTGCCTTGATTGCCTTGGTATTCTGAGTTAAGATTTAGTGAAGTCTGACTGTTGTAAAATTATTCATTTCACACAACTGGTGCAAACCTGTCCGCTCTAATGGGAAGGAAACTGTCCAATGTCAACTTCAGACTTAAGAATGCTTGAATATATAGACCAGAGCCAACTCACAGGCCCACTTGGTATAACTTCATGGATATGGAAACACAATGACTTATTATTTGACTGTCTTTCTTGCGGAAACATCTGCTTACAGAGGACAGGAAGTGCATGCACTAGGGGCAAGTGGGCACTGGATCTAAAGTCAGGAGCCCCGGGATCTCTTCGCAGCTTTGCAACGTGGACATAAAATGTCACATCTCTCTTCTCCGTACCTCAGTTCCTTGTGTGTAAAATGAAGGGAAAGCATATGAATGAGAGACTGTCTTGGAAATAGTTTTGAGCTCCTGATGAAATCTGAGTGACATAATCATCATGATTTAAGACAAATTCTGAAGATTATCACTAATAAAGATGATGACAAGACGTGGGACTGTCATTTGTACAAGGACAGAGGAGGCTTGTGATATGCAGAAAAGAGGCATGAAGGGAAGAACAGGAACCACACACCCGCGTTGTACAGAATTCTTTTTGCCAATAGATTCTATCAAGTTGGAAATATTCCAGAGGGGAGTTCCAGAGGGAAGGATGGGGAAGAATGATTCTGATAGGAATGGGTCACACTGATAAATGACCACAATCCTAGTTGGCCATGAGCACTTACAAATGCTCCCTCTGACATCTGAGTTTTTCCCTGATTTAGCAATTCCAGCTGTTAGGTCATCCTAATGTATTGTCACAGAAACAGCAAGCCTTAGTTTTGACATCCCTTCAATTCTAACAATTATATATGTCTTCTGCATAAGCAAAAAGTTGCTTTTGAAATGTTTAGGTATGTTCTGAATACAGTCAATGAATTTTTACTGTCTTCCTGAGAAGCCTGGAATATTTGTTTTTCAAATTGTTGCCAGGGATGTGACCTCGAACTTGGCTTCAACTCTAGAGAAACAGTGACTGGTTTAGGGAAGGAACGAATGACTCTTCCTACAGAAGACGTTCTCCAAGGTCTGTGTTGCCTGCAATTGTTCACATCACCGTCTGTCAGTAGCTCACCGAAAGCCAGATTTCGGGAAGGCTTTTACAAGCAAAGGAGAGGCAGAGAAGATGAGACACAGTAAGCATGATTGAGGACACTCCACTTTCCTGCAGAGGGGCAATACTCAGGCTGTTAGGGAGAACTGCAGAGAGCAGAACACCTCAAAACAGAACAAAGATCGCTTCTGCAGACTGATACAGACTTTTGTTACTTTTAGGAATTTTCCAGGGAATCTACAAAATGTATATAGCCACTGGCTTAGGAAGTCCCATGCCCGGGCATAACGAAGTTCATCAGTATATTGGCTGAAACGCAGGATGCAACTTTACTAATAATCCCTTGGGCTATGTCGAAAACATCAATAAAGAACATAGCTGAGTAATAATTCAGAATTCAGGAAAATCTCTTTCTTCTGGTAAGCTTACCTTTTAGCTTTTGCTGAGATGGGCACCAAGCTTTTCTTTCCTGATCAAGCTTGCTGCATAGGGGATCTGTAAGATAAAAACAGGCAAAGCTGTCCAGATGAGCTCAATTAAAAAAAAATTTTTTTTCATGTTTATTCTCGAGAAAGAGAAAGAGCACGAGTGGGGGAGGGGCAGAGAGAGAGAGATGGAAACACAGAATCTGAAGCGGGCTCCGGGCTCTGAGGTGTCAGCACAGAGTCCTATGCGGGGCACACTCTCGAGCTGTGAGATCATGACCTGAACTGAAGTCGGACGCTGAACCTACTGAGCCACCCATGTGTCTCCAGAGACACTAAATTCGAAGACAGGTGCATAGGGGAGACCTTTCATCATGCCTAGAAATTTGAATGCCAGTAAATCCCTCCCTAAGGAGAAAAGGTCTCCATCCGATTGGCAATAGCATGGAGCTTCTGGGATATAGCAATTCCTAAGGCCTGTTAAAAAGCATATCAAGGACAACCAGTGATCACAGTAGACTCTTGCTAGAGCTAGTCTCTGAGGTCAGTATATGACATTTCACCTTAAGAAGTTTTTTTTTTAAATTTTCATTTAATAATATGATACTGTTATTTTTTTATTTAGGTATGAAAACTAAGTTATGATGTTATAATGTATGTCCAAAGTAAAGAGACAAGGATGTGATTACAAACTAGTTCAATGCCATCTTTCATTTAATTACAGTGACCGACTATGCTATCATTATAAATCACAAAAATAAGATGAACTAACTAAACACAAATTATTACTCTGGGTAATTTCCCAATAACTACTAAGAAGCATCAGAAATAATTGCACTGAGTGGAAAATACAACCCTTGAGAATACTACCTGGATAAACTTGAAAAGTACTTTTCAGTACTGGGACTTCAAATGAAAGACTATCCCATTTGATACGTTACTTTTCATTAGAAAATCTGAGTGGCTAAAATTGGACTGCATGTCTTATTTAGATTTACCTTTCCATTAACCCCAGTTAAGGTAGTCTATCATTATGTTACTTACCTTCATCATTATAGGACTCAGGACTCTAGAGATTTGTATCTATCATGCATTTAAAGAAATACATATTCAGCTTTCTAGAATATAACATGAAATATGGCTGTGATGTAAAAGCAGTGAGGGAAATAAAACTATTTTCATCCGATTCAGCGATGTTTTTGAATACTGGTACATACGCTCTCCATGTTTCCGGCATATCTGTGTTTTGTTCTCCTGATCCCCCATCCACAAATATAAGCCTTTTCTAGTGGGAAGAGACTATGAATCTGTGAGTGACTAATACGGTCCCAATCATATTGGGACCACTATGCCATAATAACTGGTCAGCTGAATAGCCTTTTTTTGGTAATTTTTTTTTTAAACGTTCATTTATTTTTGAGACAGAGAGAGACAGAGCATGAACGGGGGAGGGGCAGAGAGAGAGGGAGACACAGAATCAGAAACAGGCTCCAGGCTCCGAGCCATCAGCCCAGAGCCCGACGCGGGGCTCGAACTCACGGACCGCAAGATCGTGACCTGAGCTGAAGTCGGAGGCTTAACCGACTGAGCCACCCAGGCGCCCCTGAATAGCCTTTTGAATGGCAAAAAAGAGAGAGGACTAACATAACCATCTCACTCTTTTGATACACAGGCACAACATGGATGATTCCGATAGCCACATATCTGATCAAGAGCACAGACAGCATGAATGAAGTGCCCTTATGGCCTTCATATTTGAGTACCAACCTCATATTTGAGGACATGAGCTGCGATGAGCCGGATGACGACAACAGCAGTCACATAGGGACCTACTCTAGTCACCTCTTCTTCTCACAGGACATCATACTACATCTGCTCTCAACAGAGATGCACGTTTCCCATCACAGCGTTTGCTGCGACATGCCAAACACAGGGATTGCCTCTCTCTTTCTGTGCATGATATAACGGAGCCTTGAATGGAATTCTATTAGTTAGGATAACAAGTAGAAATGATGTAAACCTCGGGGCAAGAGGAATTACCTAATACAATGTGCTGTGTCACGCTCACATTTAGAGACAGTCCTCGACATCAAGACTCCGGTACCACAGTGACTGAGAAAGTGACCCGTCCTGTTCCATCCCAGGCCCTACTGCAAGTTAACATCGCCAGGGGCCCACCGCCTCATCAAAGCTGATAAACTACTCATCCTAACCCTAAGAAAACTGTGGGAAGGACACTGCTTTCATATCTAAGTCAGAATGCCTTTTTCCTTCCTTCCTTTTGCCCCAGAAACAATGTAGCATTTCATTAAGGTGGGAAGCTGAGGGAAAAAAAAAAAAAAAAGCTTAGGAAAAAAAGGATGTTTCCATATAAGCACATTTGATTCCCAAATCTACAGACTGGAATTTAAATCCGTTTGAAGAATTACCCACACTCAAACATTGTTGCATTTATGTCGTTAAAACCAAGTGAAATAAAAGCCAAACAAAAACAAAGGCAAAAAGTGCACGAGGTTGTGAGCTGAAAATCATGTATTTTTAATGGTAGGTCCTAAGTCATGAATGACAAAGAATATATTGCCATGTGGCCCAACTGTTCGTGGGAATTACCCTATTTCATCAATTCTAAAATGTACTTTTTCCCCCCTCATGTTTTAATGTCTCTGAAATTAGGTGTCTTATAATTGATGGTATCTTGGAATAATAGTTGAAAGTTTCTTTTCTTGTGATACATCAAGTAATGGTGTCTCTTACAACTGACAGTGCTTTGGATTCCATGAAATGCAATACTTGATTCACAGAGACCTCTGCAAACACTCCCCAATTTGGGAGCTCACGCTCCTGGAGGCTCCATTTGAGCTAATTACTCCATTACGTTTCCTGTTCTGGAACTTACAAACACTTTCTTGCCATTTTGACCAGCTTACTATTTTTTTTTTAATGCTTATTGATTTTTGAGAGAGAGAGAGAGAGAGAGAGAGAGGACAAGTAGGGGCGGGACAGAGAGAGAGGGAGACGCAGAATCTGAAGCAGACTCCAGGCCCTGAGCTGTCAGCACAGAGCCTGACGTGGGGCTTGGAACTCGTGAACTGTGAGATCATGACCGAAGTCAGTGCTTAACTAACTGAGCCATCCAGGCGGGCCATCCATTTTGACCAGCGTAGAAATCACCAAGATTTGCATGGAAAAAAAAAAAAAATCTCTCAAAGCTATATAAGTTCTAAATTAGTCACCTAGTTGGCACGAGTCTATCAAAAGTCTGGGGTCTTACCAAGAAAGATAACTTCCTAGTTTGTGCCAAGAAAGAATTAGCCTGAGCTCAGACATTCAGGTGGGTTAACATGTCAAAAGGAGAATGAGGAGAAGGCCACATAACCAAGGAACAAGTGATTGCCTGGTCAGGATGCATGGCAATCGATCAGTAATGGGGAAAGGACCCACTGCAGTCAAAGTCTGGTCTGCTGCTGGGGAATGTTAAGGCAGCATCCAGTCCTCTGACTTGCAGGGACCTCCTTTTCTTGCATATTTAGCCACAAAACCAAAATCCTCTAGTGGCCTAGGGATCTTTTCCTAAGAATATAGTGCCAAACAGTAACTGTACTACCTACCTTTAAAAATCAAATACTTAGGACATATTTTTAAAAACTCTCTGGGTTGAGACGTTAGAAGTCTGGACAAGTTCCCATCCTAATGAATCCCGGACAACCTCCAAGGAAAGACTGTATCACTGAAGAGCTGTGTCCTTGCCAAGGAGGGAGGGCCCATCCAGCAGCAGTCAAGACCTCGCTCCTTTCCCTGCAAAGAAGCTCTGTGCTCCCAGCAACAGGAAGTTGTAAAATGCGTTTTTACAAGTCCACAGTGAACGAAACATTAGTACTAAATCTATCGATTGAGCATTATTTTAATTGAGGCTTTTAATGAAGAACTTTGAGACCAAGTTTCCCCTGCTGTGTGTAAGTGCAGCATTCTGGATAAAACAGCAGAGGGCACTTCGAGACTAGCACATTTTCTCCATCTACGCGCCTCTTGGTAGCAATCTAGCAAGTTCAAAGGATGTGAATCTGGATCTAGCCGTTTATCACAGGCTCTCTTCTGCAGCTGCACAAGGTCCTTCGAGAACTCTGACTAAAGAAGAGTATGTCTTCAACAAACTTACAGTAGTAGTAACTTCTATACAGATGCACTGGCTTGAAAGAAAATTGTTGCCAAATTATCAATGAAAAAAAAAGTTATCAAGGCATCATGATGTGTAAATTATATTATATTCCAGTCCTTGAAAAACCTTAATCAAAAAAGGTGATACACTGAGTAAAACACCTTCAGCTTCTTTTTTTAATTTTAAAAAATTGAGGTATAATTGATATACAACATTGTCTTAGCTTTTTCATCTTCTTCTTACTGTACAGCACGATGGGTTTTGTTTTCAAAATTGAACCAACTTTTCCTTGAATCACAATCCATTTGTGAATGAGATTTTTTTCCTTTGTGCTATAATACAAACTAAGATTTTCACGAGCTTGTTAAGTTTTAGAACTTTTGTATTTGGTTCATAGTGAGAAGAATCTATTTCTTTGCTTGTACAGCTAACTCTGGCTTAGTAAGGAAAACACTTTAAACATTTGAAAACCCAGGGCAGGCGTGGAAGACTTTACTGCAAACTGTGTGAAGTACTTATAGACTCTAATTTTAAGCAATTAAAAAAAAAATTAGCGTGTTGCCCATGTACAAATGTTAAACAAACTGCGTAGGCTTTAAATCTCACATTGAGATAAACGCACATTCATTTATAAGTGTACAAAGAGAGTCAATTATTTGACTCCATAGTCATTACACCTTTGCATTTAACAAACTGAAAAAGGAAGCAATGGTGCAGAAATCGCAGTCAGCAGAGAATCTGAAAATGCAGGAGCCAAAGAAATTCATAAGTTTTCTTTCTACAGCAATGATACCCAAGATGCTTTCGATAAAATCTTTTGAATAAGAACACTGCGTAACAGCATAGAATAAATGCACTGTGGGTCTATGGGAATTGTTACAAAATATGATGGTTTTAATATATTTGAATTCTCCATGATTGCAGGATAGGATGGGTTTTTATGTCATCTAAAGGAAAAAAAAAAGCCTATTCTGCAGGCAAATGACTATTCTGTCATATATGCTCTGTAAGCTTTAAATATAAAATAGTTTAAATGTAAAATAATAACTTTGAGTGAAATGCTCTATTCTCAGGAAGCAAAGCATGTAACCATATTTACTGATGAATTAGATCATTCAACTAAAACTACTGAGAAAGTCAATAATTATGATATCTAGCAACTTCTTGAAAATCTTTAGATCGAAGTCTCTCAGGACATTACCCCCCACATACTTTAGCAAATAAAACAAGCTGAATAAGGGATTTGATAAATTTCTGTTCAGGTGAACTGGAGTCTGCTGCCTCAATTCCAAAGCAGATGGTGTAATGTGAACCCAGGTCCTTCTTGCACGAAAATATATCTAGGCATCAGGACTTGAATAGTCCCACTATTAGAGGTACTGCTTTGAGAAGAGGCATGCTATGAAATTTATTACTCATACTGGCAGAGCATTTGATAACTTGCACGGGCATTTCATGTTTATTAGGCACCTGTGCCTTACTTACTATATTCCTATCAGGGCACAGGTTGGAGCTTCCGAATTCCTTTGGCTGAGAAGCTGACACTTAATGGACTATATGGGAGTAGTCTTGAATTGAAGTTTGCAGACCTGCCAGCCTGTGTCTGTTAGTCACAAGGACAGTGCAGTAATAGGGGAACACCTCATAATTCACCACTATGGCTTTCTTTAGTCGTTTTAGTAGTAGTTTCTTAGCACAAAAGACAGTTGGAGGAAATCAGGAACGAGCCAGGGAAATTTGGAAAAGAATTAAGAGGACCACTCTATGGGAGTATCAGAGTTGAGTCAGGGGTCATCCCTGGGTGGTGATTCATTCAGCAAATGTTTATGATAGCCATCGGATGATAGGTACTGGAGGCTGCATGAAGACCCTCCCCATATTAAGGCAGGGGACCCAAGAGAAGAAGTGGGAGGGACAAATCACATCTATTTCACCTGTCTCATGTTGTCAGCCTGGATGTGGTTTTGTGGATTTCAGAAATTATATGGTACCTACAGGGCTGGGGGGAAAAATGTCTAGCTTCTCCCAAGGAATTTAATTTGTGACCAGGAATAATTTACTATCTAGAGAAATCTGAATTAATAACACTTGTCTACATAAATGAATATATGATGATAAAATATTTTGCAATATAGTGTAATAAAAACGCTTAGTAATACCAATTTATCCCTTGCATGCACCAAATATCTCAAAAGACACGAGACATTTTTTCTGCTATCAATACTGTTTACTACATGGACGCAGTATCATTTCTTCTTTTACTAAGGAAACCTAATGTCAAAGAAAATTAAGACATTCAAGCTATATAACTGACCTTAAATAGGGGCACTGAAATAAATACCTACTCCCTCTTCTAAAGCCCATATTGCTATACGCAACCACTCTAAAATCACACATTTTTGGTTGTATGCATCAGAAAGTGATATGTAGAATCAGTAAGGTCTGAAAATTTTATATCCTTCTGTCTCCAATTATTTATTTAAATTCTTCCTCTATGTAGGGGTGCCTGGCTGGTTTGGTTGGTCGAGTGTGAGATTCTTGATCTTGGGGTTGGGAGTTTGAGTCCCACGTTGGGTATAGAGATTACTTAAAAATAAATATTAAAAAAATTCTTCTTTTGGACAAAGAAAACAATTAGAATAGTCACAACAAGTAATCAATAGCTCTTATTATCTAGGTATCAAAAGCTAAGAACAGTAGATACATTTTTTTTAACCCTTTGGGGGCTTAGTAATCAATCAATTGAGAAAAAGCCTTCTGCACTCCCCCCCTCCCATGACTTTAAGTGCAAACAAACCAAACACAAACAAAAACAAAAGCAGAAGAAAAGTCCTGTTTAAGAGGCATCTTACATTGAGGTGACATTCAGAACAGAGAAATGTTAACCGGCCATTGAGGTCAATGAAGACCAGTGGGAATGGTCTAAGAGTACAAACAGCACTTTTAACAGAGCCCCAGAATGGAGGCATTACAAGGTGGCTTTAAAAATGACTCCGAGGGGCAATTGGGTGGCTCAGTGGGTTGAATGTCTGACTTGGGCTCAGGTCATGATCTTACAGTTCTTGAGTTCGAGCCCTGCATCAGGCTCTGTGCTGACAGTCTGTTTCAGATTCTGTCGCCCTCTCTCTCTGCCCCTCCCCTGCTCGTGCTCTGTCTCTCTCTCTCTCTCTCTCGAAAATAAGTAAACATTAAACAAATTAAAAATAAATAAATAAAAAATAAAAAACGACTCCAAGCAATCTCCACTAACACAAGCATGATTTCTCTGATGCAGAAGGAAAATATTAATACTTATCTTCCTTGAGTTATCCTGACAGAGAGCTAGATACCTGGCTGTCTAGACAAGACAGGTGGATATACGTAGATACATGCTTAATAAAATACAGGTAACAGGGAGCAGCTCGGAAACGTCCAGCAACCAGGGCACCTGGGTGGCTCAGTCGGTTAAGCGTCCGACTTTGGCTCAGGTCGTGATCTCGCGGTCCGTGAGTTCGAGCCCCGCGTCGGGCTCTGTGCTGACCGCTCAGAGCCTGGAGCCTGTTTCAGATTCTGTGTCTCCCTCTCTCTCTGACCCTCCCCCATTCATGCTCTGTCCCTCTCTGTCTCGAAAATAAATAAACATTAAAAAAAAAATTAAAAAAAAAAAGGAAACGTCCAACAACCCCAATTATAATAGTCATGCTGGGAATACCACTAAGGATCAGTGTATGTCTCCATCCAGGTGATTAAAAAATATCTTACAAATATGGAGCAGAAATTATCGTCCCCACTGTACTCAGGAAAATGAGAGAGTATGAGAGACTGTTTTAAAAGCCCTAATGATTAATACCAGATCTGTCTGCTTGGGGATGAAGGGTGGTGAATTCAGAATGAAAAAAACCCCAAAAACCCCACTACATTTATTCACCAGGCACCTTCCTCTTCCCTGTTTCCACATAAATACAACCGAGTGTCCACTTTTTGGTATGATTAGAAGAGGGTGAATAACACACTTCATTTGGAAATAATCATTTCTTTGAATCACCCTTCAAGTGACTTTATTTTTTTTTTGTTATTTTTTTTCTTTTTTCTTTTAATATGAAATTTGTTGTCAAATTGGTTTCCATGCAACACCCAGTGCTCATCCCAACAGGTGCCCTCCTCAATGCCCATCCCCACCCTCCCCTCCCTCCCACTCCCCCATCAACCTTCAGTTTATTCTCAGTTTTTAAGAGTCTCTTATGGTTTGGCTCCTTCCCTCTCTAACTTTTTTTCCCTTCCCCTCCCCCATGGTCTTCTGTTAAGTTTCTCAGGATCCACATAAGAGTGAAAACATATGGTATCTGTGTTTCTCTGTATTACTTATTTCACTTAGCATAACACTCTTCAGTTCCATCCACGAAAACCTCTCTGACCTCAGCCGCAGCAATTTCTTACTTGACACATCTCCAAAGGCAAGGGAATTAAAAGCAAAAATGAACTACTGGGACCTCATGAAGATGAAAAGCTTCTACGCTGCAAAGCAAACAATTAACAAAACTAAAAGGCAACCAACGGAATGGGAAAAGATATTTGCAAATGACATATCGGACAAAGGGCTAGTATCCAAAATCTATAAAGAACTCACCAAACTCCACACCCGAAAAACAAATAATCCAGTGAAGAAATGGGCAGAAAACATGAATAGACACTTCCCTTCAAGTGACTTTAATTGATTAAGTGTATTTATACTAAGTTCTCTTGGCAGCAAAGGGTGTGGCTTAGGTCTGGGTAAGGGAAGGAGAGGAAGAGAGAAGACAGGAGCCTCTCGGGCATCCCAGCGCCCCGTGCTCACAAGTTTGCACAGTGGGAGGCGGTGCAGGTACCTCTGGTTCACCCACAGAGACAATTTACACATCTGTCTATTAACACATGGTAGGTAGTTACATCTCGAGAAAACGAACTGACACATCTGTTTATCCTGTGTCTAAGTAAATCTTTTGGTAATTAGCATCTAAACCAGCTGAGAGGTAAGTGGTAAGTGGACCAAAGGGTTTCACGGCAAAAAAAACGTGAATAGTTTCTTACACGCTGGGTGGTCTGCAAACAAACCCATCAAGTCAGGTTGATTTTTAAGTAGAAATCATCTTACGATTTGTAATTGCTGCACCATTTCTTCTCGGTAGGCTAGTTCCCTTTTCATCTGATCCTGGAAATTATCTGGTAGGAGAGAGAAATAGAGAAAGACATCAATCAAAGTTGCAAAATCTTATTTTAGTAATTTTAGGAACAATGCTCCTGATGGTGCCAGAGAAGCCCCTCTCCCTTTTCGGTATTTTTAGAAAGTATTGTGTGTGTGTGTGTGTGTTTGTTTTTTTTTTTTTAAAGTATATCACATGGCTTTTTGAAGGGATGTTTTTAAGGCTCTCTAATGAGAACGGAGAAAATTTTGAGGGGGTAGGGTCTCTATCTCATAGTTCACAGTATCCCATGGCCCATCTAGATGATCCCTCGCATATAATAGAATGCCTGTGCGGTCATGTTCTCCAGCTTTGTGCACTCAAGCCAGTCACAGATTATCGACAGCTTCCACTGTCTACAGAAGGCTAGTGTGAGTGAACCTCAGATCTAGGTGGGTCACAGGAAAGGCAGACCCTTGTCTGCTAAGACAAAGGCCCGTGAGCCACGCCTGCCTCACCTCAATCCCAAGAGAGTGATAAACATACTCTGACTCTGCCAACCTGCAAACTCTCTCACCCTGCATCAGCCTTATTTGTCCTCCGTGGGCCGGGAGCAGTTCTACAGACCTTGCCTCCATCCGAGAAAGGGATCGGGGAGGAGCTTTCAGAGATACCGTTATGCAAAGTCTTTGCCAGTCTTCATATTGATCATTTTTATTGGGAAACGACTTTCCAACATGTATCATGTTGCAACGTCTCCATGTGATCTTTTCATTTATTAAAAAAATTTTTTTTTAATTTTTTAATGTTTATTTTTGAGAGAGAGACACATACAGAGCAGGAGCAGGGGAGGGGCAGAGAGAGAGGGAGACACAGAATCCGAAGCAGGCCCTGGGCTCCGCACTGACCGCTCAGAGCCCAACACGGGGCTGAACCCACGATCCGCAAGATCATGCCCTGAGCCGAAGTCAGATGCTCAAGTGACTGAGCCACCCAGGCGCCCTTCCATGTGATCCTTTTAAAAGCGTGGGCCCAGCTAACTTTAGCATTTTCTGCCTTCAATGAGAACGTCACACGGTTTCCTATTGAATCTGTTGTGGATAGTCAGGGTAACAGTTTGGGGAAACCAGAAACTTTGTCATATCTTTTCCTCCGCTCTTCCCTTCACCTCTGCAGCCACTGGTGTGTGAGTCCTTTACGGTCTGATGCCATCCTCGCTTCCCTTTGCCATTGTCACCTCCCCAACACAGACACCTCTTCCCTGGGTAGCTTCCCAACTGACCACTTGGCCTCCGGTCCCCCCCTCTGCAAATCCCCTTTCCTTCTGCTGAAAACTCTATGATGGCTTCCCAATGCTTACAAGATGATGAATCCTTTACCTCTTGTGAGGTTCTGGGGACTTGGAAATTAAAAACACCATCCTTTTAATTTTTTTGACTTCTACTTTTCTATATTATTTGAATTCCTTCCCTATCCCATGCATGTTTTTAAATTTTTTTTAAACATTTATTTATTTTTGAGACAGAGAGAGACAGACAATGAACAGGGGAGGGGCAGAGAGAGAGGGAGACACAGAATCAGAAGCAGGCTCCAGGCTCTGAGCCATAGGCCCAGAGCCCGATGCGGGGCTCGAACTCACGGACCGTGAGATCGTGACCTGAGCTGAAGTCGGACGCTTAACTGACTGAGCCACCCAGGAGCCCCATGCATGTTTTTAAAATTAGTTAATTAATTCATCAATTAATTAATACTTGAGGTTTTTTTAGAGCAGTTTTAGGTTCACCACAAAATTAAGGGGAAGGTACAGAGACTTCCCATTTACCCACTGCCCCCACACCTGCATATCCTCCCTCATTATCAACAACCCTCACCAGAGAGGGACATTTGTTACAATGGATGAACCCACACTGACACATCATCATCATCCATAGTCCGTAGTTTGTCTTAGGGTTCACTTTTGGTATTGTACCTTTTATGGATCTGGACAAATATATAATGACATATATCTACCAGCATAATATCAGAGAAAATATAGAATATTTTCACTGTCCTAAAATCCTCTATGCTCTCCCTATTCATCCCTCTCCTCCACCCTACCCCTGGCAACCACTGACCTTTTATTGTCTCCACAGTTTTGCCTTTTATATTTTTTAAAAAGACTCTTTCCCTACTCTCAATTTAATGTGAAAGGTATTGTAATAGGGCACAATGTGTATGTGGCACAATGCAAGGGGCAAGGGAGAAGCCCTTATCCTCTTGGGGAGTAAAGGCGGAGGAAATGCTTGAGCAGAGATGTAAAGAACAGTGTTTTATAGAAAGACAAGGGAGGAGGAGTGGGGAATAGCAGGTGGCTTAGTTGGTTGCAGCACAGAGGGTAGAGGAAACCCCTGCACCCCATCACCCACCAAACCTTACCGGGGCACCTCCCTGGGATCCCAGAAGATGATAAGGACAACTCAGAGTGGAATGGTCATACTTAGTCCTTACTTAACTCATGCTCATTGCTCTAGGAGGGTACACTTAATACAATTCTTTAAGATAAAATGAAAAAGGGGGCACCTGGGTGGCTCAGTCAGTTAAGCATCCAACTTTGGCTCAGGTCATGATCTCACAGTTTGTGGGTTCAAGCCTTGCATCAGGCTCTGTGCTGATGGCTCAGAGCTCAGAGCCTGCTTCGGATTCTGTGTCTCCCTCTCTCTCTCTGCCCCTCTCCCACTTGTGTTCTGTCTGTCTGTCTCTCTCTCTCAAAAACAAATAAACATTAAAAAAAGATAAAATGAAAAAAAAAAGCCATTAAAGTATCAGAAAAAATGGTGAATATTTTTATAAAACTTGGGTGGGGAAGGGTATCAAAGAGAGAAAAACTGAAAAAGGAAAAGATTGATAGATTTGATTAGACAAACATTTAAAACTTCAGTATGACGATAAACTACAAAAAAATTGAACCCTCAAAACATAGAAGATCATAGTCAACATCCAAAGCTAACTGACACAAATAAAAGAATATGTGTGATGTGGCAAAGAATATTTTAGTATTTAAAGGGTTCATGGAGATCCATAAGAATACTGAGAAGAGAATATGATGGGCATTCACAAAACCTACAAATGGAAAGCAGACATGAAAAATGTTCACCATCCCGAGCAATGAAAGAAAACAGTATGAGCTACTATTTTTTTTTTTTCATTTAAGTTAGCAGCGATTGAAAGAAAAGGTGTTCCTTTTAGTACAGCCTTTCTGGAGAGCAAATAGACATTACATATCAAGAGCTTGAAAAAGTGCATATTCTTTAACACAGGAAGCCTTTCAAGAGTTTATCCTGAGGGAATCGCCATAGATGTGGGTATGGATTTAGCTACGGTGAAACCCATCACCTAAAGCTTTGATAACTTTAACGTCCAACATGGAGTACATTTATAAACTCAAAATGTATTAAAGACCTAAATGTGAGGCCCAAAACCATAAGGACAAGAACACACGCAGTAATTTCTTCGACATCAGTCATAGCGACATTTTTCTAGATATGTCTCCTCAGGCAAGGGAAAATAAAGCAAAAATAAACTACTGGGACGACATCAAAATAAAAAGTTTTTGTACAGTGAAGGAAATCATCCACAAAACAAAAAGGCCACATGCTGGATGGGAAAAATATTTGCAAATGACATATCCGATAAGGGGTTGATATCCAAAACACATAAAGAACATATACAACTCCGTAACAAAAGAAACGAATCTGATGAAAAATGGGCAGAGAATCTAAAGAGGCCTTTAGGTTGTCCATCCAGATGGCCAACAAACACATGAAAAGATGCTCAGTATCACCCATCGTGAGGGAAATGCATATCAAAACCACCATGAGATGTGGTTACACCTCACTCCGGTCAGAATGGCTAGCATCAAAAACACGAGGAACAACAAGTGTTGGCGAGGACGTGGAGAAAAAGGAACCCTTGTGCACTGCTGATGGAAACGCAAATTGGCGCGGCCACGGTGGAAAACAGCGTGGAGGTTCCTCCAAAAATTAAAAATAGAAATACCATAGGATCCAATAATTCCACGACTGGGTATGTGCCCAAAGGAAACAAAAACACAAATTCAACGAGACACGTACCTCCATGTTTACTGCAGCGTTATTTATAATAGCCAATATATGAAAGCAAACTAGGTGCCCATCAATAGATGAATCCATAAAGAAGACGTGCTATATATACACAAAATGGAATGTTACGCAGCCATAAAAAAATGATGAGCGTTTTTTTTTTTTTTATTTAATTTTAATTTTTTTGTCACTTGTGACAACACGGATAGACCTCGGGGGTGTTATGCTAAGTGAACAAAATCAGACGACGAAAGACAAATGCCACATGATTCCACTCATATGTGGAATCTGAAAAACAAAACAAATGAATGGACAAACAAACAAAAAGCAGAATCAGACCCGTAAGTGCAGAGAACGAACTGAAGGTGGCAGGAAGGGAAGGGTGGGGGATGGGCAAAATGGATGAAGGAGAGTAGGAGGCACAGGCTTCCACTCATGGAATGAATAAGTCACGGGGACAAAGGTACAGCATGGGGAATATAGTCAACGATACTGTAATGGCATCATGCAGTGACTGGTGGTAGCTATGCTTGTGGTGAGCACAGCATAACATACAGACATGTTGAATCACGAGTGTACATCTGAAATGAATGTAACTTTGTGTATCAACTATACTCAAACAAGCAAAGGTTTAAAAAAAAAAAGTACATTTACTTGTAGTAATGGAAAGAGGCTCATGTTACGTGAAAAACGGGAGGGTAAAAGATGGAGTGCTAAATATTTCATTTTGTTTAAAAAAAAAAAAGGATTGGGGCGCCTGGGTGGCTCAGTCGGTTAAGTGTCTGACTTCAGCTCAGGTCACAGTCTCGCGGTCCGTGAGTTCGAGCCCCGCGTCGGGCTCTGTGCTGACCGCTCAGAGCCTGGACGCCTGTTTCCGATTCTGTGTCTCCCTCTCTCTCTGCCCCTCCCCCATTCATGCTCTGTCTCTCTCTGTCCCAAAAAT